TACCACGTCACCACGCGCTGTTCCTTCTGAAGAGTTGTCTTGGTGCCCCAAAGATTATATACATGCTGCGGTGTTCTAACGCTTGGAAACAGCCACAACTTCTATACCAGATTGACGAAGTAATGCGGGAGTGTTTTCAAACATTGTGCAATGTCCAGACCAACAGAATAGACTGCCCTTGTTGGCGTCAGGCAACCCTCTCTGCGAACAGAGGCGGCATCGGCATTCGTCGTGCGGAAGAGTTAGCTCTCCCATAGTGTTTGGCTTCGATTCATTCCGCATCCAGACTGGTGTCGCTTCTGCTCCGTGGTCACGCGGCCTTGGATGTCACTAGCGCTCAGGAACCGTGGAAAGCTAAAAGCGGCTTGCCAGACCTCCCCGAGCTGAGCTTTCCAACGTCACAGCGAGCGTGGGACATACCGATCTGCAGGGCATCGCTTGCAACACTGCTGGAAGTCTTTGGAGACGACGAAATCAACAAAGCCCGTCTGCTAGCTCAGTCCAGACTGGAAGCCGGTATCTGGCTGAATGCTCTACCTTCAGCGCATATCGGCAACCTTCTTGATGGCGAAACGCTGAAATTATTTGTCGGGCTAAGGTTGGATGCAGTTATTTGTGAAGCACACTCGTGCGCAAAATGCTACAAACCAGTCGACATGTACGGCCACCACGGATTGTCATGCTCGTTCTCCGCTGGAAGACATGCCCGCCACAGCGGTTTGAACGGGATAGTTTGCCGATCACTAGTTCCAGCGGGCATCCTAGCGAAGCTTGCACCCCGCGGCACACCCCATACATCCGATCACCGCCCGGACGGATGCACTACGTTTGCTTGGAAACGTGGCATGTGCTTAGCTTGGGATGTTACCTGCGTAGAAACGTCGCATCATCGCATATCAAGTCTATTTCGTCAGCCGCGGGATCAGCCGCTGCCCTGGCCGAGGACAAGAAAACCAGGCTGTACGCGTATCTTGACGGCAGATACATTTTCGCACCACTAGCCTTTGAATTTTAAACACTTGGGCCCTGGGGAAAGTCGGCATCTATCTTAGTGAAGAAAATCGGTAAGCGTCTGTCACTGCGTCTGCAGCGGCACACTGGTGAACCTCGCTCACACGAATACGTCCGCCAGCCTCTGTCAATCGCAATTCAACGAGGCAGCGCTACGTCCGTTCTTGGAACCATGGACGGAACGGATAATTTAACAGAAATTTTGTTGTTGTGATAAAATCGCTTTTTGTAACAAAATTTGTAATATGACTGGCTTGCGCTAATAAAAAGTACGTCTAAACAACCCGATGCCAGACCCGCATGGTGGAAGCAGTCAGCTGGTTTCGAAAATCGATGAGAAGTGTGTGCAGAATTATTGCGCAAGTATAAACCTGTGAATAATCTGAAATTTTTTGCATGCTCGCTAACTTGTTATTTTTAATGTTTTTGTTTGTGTTTTAACTGTTAATTTTAATGGTTTTTTTAACGTAGTTTGATCCCGGTTACTTGTGTGATCATATTCGCACACATAAAGCGAGTTTTTGCTGCAACCGCACATGTGTGGTTGATGAGTGAAATACATAAGTTGGCGTAGTGTAGTGGGTCTTGTGGCGTGGCTTCAGCGTTTCGTCACTGGGTTTTTACAACGTGAATAACGGTTCAACCGATTCTAAAATTTTCGAGTACTATGTAAAGACCAAGTTGGCTGAACATGCTGTACAAAAAAACTGTATTTGAGGATCGGTATCCGCTACGATACAGAATCCGATACGGAGACCTCCGCTTTTGCGCTGCATCGGCTACGGGCACCGTCTCGTAACGTCAGCATTAACCTTGCGGATTTCATCAGCGCGTGCGGCAATCTGCAGTGTGGAGGTATCCAGTTAACGCGGTACACTATCACGTTGGAGTGTGAGGGTGTCGTCCACGGAGATCCGCCGTGAACTCATCCCGAACTTCCCGATCCCTGTGACGCAGCGTGTTCCGGGTGCTGGCGATCTTCATCTGCGTTACAGTATCCAGATACGAAAAGACCTCCGTGTACAATTCTGTCGGCACTAAAGTGATATAAGCTGCGTTTGCTGTATCTGTTTAATCACCTGCTTTTTATTCACCTGCTTTTGAGTGCACTAGAAATTTTGTTTACAAGCCAGTCAACAAATTGATCATAAACTGATACAGCGAGAATAACAAATTTACATGTTACTAGAAATTTTGTTTGCAATCCAGGCAACAAATTGACCATAAACTGATAAAGCGAGAGTAACAAATTTCGTGTTGCGCCAAACTTGACTAACTTCATACCACTCCACGCTACCCTGCACCATTTAAGCCCGTAACAAGCATTTGGCGTGGAATTTGCCAGTGCACACCAAATATTTTAATAGATTAACCGGAGTCGCCTAGAGGGTAGTGGCTAATTAAAGTCGATGCAGTACATTGGCGATCTAACTACGGAGTGTAACCTGTTGTTGCGTTAAATGTAATGTGGTGGCATCATTCTAAGTGCGCTTTTCGCTCAACCTTTACCTTTATATGCTCAGTTTGTAGTCCGGCTTGTACAAGCTTGTCCGGTAATTTCTGTCGTAAAGGTACAGATAGCACATATTTAGCGCGGAATTTGCGCTATAGCGATTGCCACTACATTACGTTTGGCGTAACACGCAAATTTGTGTATCTCGCTGTTTTGAACCGGCAGAAATTACCGGACAAGCTTGTAATGCACTGCACTACAGAGTTCGCTAGTCGCACTACGCAGGGATGCACGCACTACGCTTTGCACGTTCAGGATGCACTCAACTGCCTTCCGGTTGCATACAGTGTAATGCGCTAACGGTACTTCAGAACTGCTTAAAGCAAGACTATTGCGAAAACACCGGAAAGTTATTGAAAACGTGTTGCAGCCATTTAGAATGCTCCCGCGAAAGCGCTCCTTTGGAGTCGTTAATGAGGCAAGCTAACTTGTAGATTCTTTCTCAGTTTTGCCAAAACTACTTCGCCTCTAGATTAATTCCGAAAGAGTGCCTACATCAAAGGTTACGGCAAAAATCTCGCAGTCAGATGTTTTTCGCAAGCAGTTTATTAGAATTTGGTCATCATTTTACGCTGCCATGTCAAGGTACGACGGTATCTGACTTTTGTATTAGACGGAACGGAGTTTCTCTCTCTGGATTTGCATGCACAGGTAGGCTAATATGATTAGTAATAATTATCGTACTTTTTATTTGCCGTGTTCCTGGTTATTAGAACGCTCTGCATTTTTCTGAACTGTAAGGACAAACTCGTTTGCTTTGTAAGTTTTATTTATTCGTTTTTATTTTAATATTGTTCGGTGCAATACTGGTTATCTGTTCGATTCGAGCAAGTCCGATGGATGTTTACAGGTATAACGTACAGAGCGACGAGCGTAGAAATACCTTTATCGGTATCAGCACAAACTATACGCACGTTTGCGGTGTAACAGTGTTGCTGCAAGTGTACATATATTGTTATGCGACTGCAACTCATAATATTATTAAAAGCGTTTCAGAGCTATGCTTTGTCTGTGCAGAGTATTCCGTAGTAGTGGTAGAATAAAGACTAGCTACGGCGAGGTAGAGCTTTATCCACTTCCTCAGCCACGACTCAATCAGTAGAACGCTCTTATCTCAACTGTGTTACGGTGATTCTCAAGGATGCGGACTATGATGGGTAGAACGGTCAGGAATTCCTGAGCCGGTACCCTTCAGCAACACGAGCGTAATACTAACTTCCGGTAGCGGGTACTGCGTTTACTGCGTGGGTCAGGCGAGAGTAACCAGTTAAGGCAAGATCAAACCGTGCCAATTACGCTATAATCCGTAAGGGCGACTATGAATGCCAATCAACTCGGAAGATGCTGCCTTTTATTAACTCACAACGCATTTCACAACTCAAGGAAATCAAAAAGAGCAAGACTAAATGCGACTGTTATCCGATATTAGGAGAAACCGTAGCTTATTTTATATAGACTTTGCGAGTTTGCGTTATGACCGCATCATATACATCGCTATGTACAAGTAGTAATGAATCAATGATAGAGAAGGCTAGATAACTCCCGATGTGTAGGTAAAGGCGTACAGGAGTCCAGACGTTCGTATAGAGATCCGATGTGTACCCCTCCCCACACGTCACCGTCTGTGCAAGCACATACGGTGCAGTCAGCACTACCAACTGTGTTTTGAAGAAGAGTCTAGACGAAACAGCCTATTGATTTTCTGTTGCTGGATGATCGTTTAGAATGCCTGCTTCGTACTGTGCTCAGTGTGCTATTTCAACTCAGCGCAGTGCACTTAAACTTGGGCTCCTGCATCCAGAAAGTTAATCCTGCAAATTCGCACACTTTGCAAGTGCCCCATTCAATCCACAAATGCCGTTTCAGCCTGCTCTTAACGCGTATTTCTCGACGGGACGACGTCGTGGACTTTTTAACCTCGGCAATGTGGTGATGGTTAATTTGATTGCCGACGAACTCTACCTGGGATTCGTACAAGACACGGACGAAGATACATGTCAAGACGCGGACGGCTATCGTCTCTTTATAGATTTCGATTGTGCCGATATTCCGCCGTGCTGGGTTCCTGTTAAGAAAGCGCAGACCTTTCCTTGGAAACCGTACGATCTTCTCCATAAAATAATGAGGGACAAACCGGTGTATGTTGCACTGCGTAACACTCCCACTGGTCCCTATGTATACCGCCCAGGGAAACTGGTGCAGAACAGTATGGAGGCGAATCTGCTACTCAGTTGCGTCGTTGTGAATTCTTTGGATCACGGGCAAGAGTTTCACATTGTACATCGCTGGCAAATGGTCGATATTGAAAGCATCCCGCGGTTTCCAACGGACGAAGTAGACGAGTCGCTCCGCCTAAAGAAAGTGATCATCCCTGCCAAGACCTTGGAACTGTTGAATATTGACGAATATCGTCTTACGCGGATGCTGGATATGGTGTTCCGAGGGGAAAACGGAGAGAGTATCAGATGAAGGACTGGTTGTTTGTGCGCATAGATGCGACAACTATATATTTCTTGATTGGGCACATGCAGTGCTCGCACATAGCGCCGTTCGCCTGCCCAAACGGATGGGAACCGATGTCGTGGACAATTAATACTGCGGAGAGAATTTCCGCTGGTGTGGAACATTATCTGTCTCAGTACTATGGAAGGCCAGAGCGATGCCCTGATGGCCGGTATACGATATCCGGTAGGGGGACATTCACAGAATTACCGAAACATTTAACATAGCATTCTTTGCGATTGCAAAAATAAGGAGGAAACCTAATTTACCGAAATGTGACTGCATATGTATACAGAAATTGTACTGTATTTACACAAGTTAAAGAGCCACCAAAATGGCGGAAGCCGTAAACAATAGCGCGCGGCTTCTTTGAAGTTCAAAAAAGCCGTCGGATATTCTGCGCGCACCCGGTCTTTTTTGTGGCTCTTAAACTTGTGTAAATACAGTACATGTACATGTGTTTGTATACGTATATATATAAAATGGATATGTACATGCATGTGTATAATATGCAGTTGTATTTGTACTTTTATGAGTATATGCATTAATGCATATGTATTTGTATAAGTGTATAGATATGTGTATATGTGTATATATGTATATATATGTGTGTATATGTGTACTGTATTTACACAAGTTTAAGAGCCACCAAAATGGCGGAAGCCGTAAACAATAGCGCGCGGCTTCTTTGAAGTTCAAAAAAGCCGTCGGATATTCTGCGCGCACCCGGTCTTTTTTGTGGCTCTTAAACTTGTGTAAATACAGTATATGTCTATATTATTTATATGTAATTATTAGGTATCTGCATAATTATGTTAGTAACTGTTTATGTACGGTATATGTATATCTGTACGTAATGTATTGTAATATGTATATGACCAAATATATATCTATATCTATATTTAAATGCAAATTCCCTATTATGTATATACAAAACTTTGTTGGCCAAATCAAACTTAAGACAAAATAATGAAAGGACCACAAAAACTGCAACAAGAAAATTTTATTCGGTTTATCAATCCCTTCCATCGTGCCCAGCGCAGACGCCGCGCTACCCCGTTGAACTTTTATCGACAAGCGCTTAAATAATATTGCGAGCATGCTTCCCCGGTTATGTATATGTATATGCTGATCTATGTATATGTCAATTGTAACCATGTAGATGCATTATATGCAAGTGCACATAAAATTCGATTCATATGGTATAGGCTGTACAGCAGATCATGAATTGTTCGAGGGCCTGCCGCCTGAAGTCATGTCGCTCGTCCTGGAATCCCTCGATATCCACTCTAAAGTCAGAGCGAAACGGTGAGTGCATATTCCGCAGGTGTATTTAAAAGGGATTTTTATCTACTACGTGCGATCACGTATAACGGACCAACACTAATACGTATTAATCTTACGTCCTTCGGATGCAGTGTTCGTGACCACTCGTTTCAGAATCTCGTGCACAATAATAAGCAATTTGTTCACAATACCGCTAATTAACTGTTACAGAACCTGTGCACTGTGGGATTTTTTGCTGCCGGATCCCGCAGCCGACGCGTGCATCATCCTGGACTTGGCCAATCTCAGTTCGCAATGGCCGCTGCAACGAACTACGGAAGGGTACCTGCTAGCGCGCTTGCTGCACCACACCGTTAACGTCAACACTCACGCACTGGTTTTGTACAATCTCTTCCACCGCAATACAGATGGCATCCCTCTCAATTATCTGACCCTTATTGTACAGCTGTTACAAATCCGATGCATACTCCGGCTGATCATGCTGATGAATCTGCGGGTGCGTGTGAGCCGAGCCAATCCCAGAAAAGAACAAGATCCCGAAGATGACCGTTTGAGTGTTATGTATTTCTATCCGCTGGATTTCACGAACGTCTGCCAACGGTTGTTCATCCGAAATTACACGGTGGATTTTGACTGTTCGTCTTACTCGACGGACATTGTCGGTAGTGCATTTCAGCATCCAATGCCGGGATTTGTCGAATCTAAGGGGTCTTTCTTTATGAGCATTAGGATTCCCGCGATGAGCTTTCCGTATGCCGAAAGTAAAGAGGAAAAAGCAGAATGTATGCAGCAGTTCAAATTGGCGTTAGAGGCCAACTGTCCTCCGGTGGATCCCGCGGTAAAGCAGCGCGTCATGGCTCTCCATGCCCAATGGGTGAAAACGGTGCCATATCGGAAGCCGCAGTGGCGCGAGCTTCGACATCTGCTTAAATTGTAAGCTTGCTGATTAAGGAGCGTAGCCCGGTAGTAGCCGGTACAAGGTGTTAAAAATGGTTTACACACACTTAAACTTTACGTTGCGCACTCCGAATGACGTTTTAGTACTAGCACTTTATGTCATCCTCTAGAAACACCTTATGTCATTCTGAAGATAAACGATTTGTATACACTGTTCTGAAAACGGTTTGCTCGCGCAACATCCGGTTGTCGAGATATGACGAACTGAAATGGGCGAAAAGTTTAAATGCATTGTTGTGTACCAAAAGTCTGGTTATTACCCGATCTTGTTCAAACTTAACTGTAAAAGACACATGGCCATAAAGTCGGAAGTAAATCAATTTCAAGTTCGTAGCGCTTTTCCGCAATTCTCGAATGAATTTTGAAATTTTTGAAGTTTATTTTAAATCGGAAAAACTGCTATGAATCTGATATGCTGCGTTGAATCTGTTCCTTTTGCTTCCCAATTTTATTTCGTATGTTGCAGCTACGGAACATATGAGAGCCCTGAACTTTGCCGCTTTTGGCGAGATGTGGACGTTCGGCGTTTGGATGGGGTTGTTCTGGGGAATCTGCAGTTGACCATCCTGGCCCGGGATTACCCAGGCGGCGCTGAACGGACGCGTATTGCGCGCCTACTCAAGTCGATTTCGTCTGCCAAGAAAAAGGTGTTGGCTGTCGCTGTGGCTAATTCAAAACGCTCGGAATGCACTGATACTCGTATTTCTGAAGAGGTTTTCTTGTCCCCGGATTTTTAACAACTAACATACAGCTACTTTCCGTGCTTTTCGATTTATTGGTGCTTTCAAGCAAACTCCGTTCTCTGTCTGCTGCATTCATTACGAGCGCCGCTTGTTATGCTTTTACATTGTTCACTAGCTAACCCCGCTCAGAAATTCGGCAGATTGCATCCTCCATATGTGGCTTCGTTCTTGCGTATGAGTGGATTTAAAGTATGATAAACACGATTTTATTGACCAGAGCACAACAGAAGTATGTTGAGTATTTAAATTGTATTTGATTGACTTGATTTCTAACCGCTCACTCGATCTTGACTAGCGGATCGAGTGAGCGATATACTGTAATTTAATCTAGCAATGTTGTCAGTCTCATGGATAAGGTTCTTTTTTTAATTCGTGGCCTCCCGACGGTGTTGAGACGTGTCTCTTGGCGGAAAGTATACCTTGCGTTAGTACTGCTTAACGGAATAACCTCGCACATATTAAGTACAAGATCTATACTACGCGCGGCGCCCCATAGTTTTGAGATCTCTATAACCATAAAACTTCTGGAAAAACGGACAACGCCATTAGATCCGGGATAGTTCAGACGTGGCCGGCATGTGCTTTTTTATGAAAATATCGAGCCGGTATCAAGCCGGCATCAAGAGCAGATTGATCCAACCCATCTTAAAGGTCACCTTGAAACTTAGAAATATTTGCCTAGATACAATACAAAATACCAATTGACATAATTATCACACTAATTAAACCGAAAAATAAATAAATTATTGTACTTATTCGAACACTCGCGTTATTCAAACATTGTTGCCGAGCTCGAAACACGTTTAAAATCAACCGATATAAAATATAAAAATATCAAATATAAAATCAATACGAAAAATCACTGGACGAGTGAGTGACCGAAACACTATCACCGACCACTGAGCGGAATCTCTAGATGAGTGGGTGACCGAGCTACCACCACTGACCAGTAAGAAAAATCCCTAGACAAGTGAGTGACCGAAACACTATTACTGCCCACTGAGCGGAATTTCTACTAGGTGAGTGAGTCATCGAGCGGGCTTTGCTCTTGCTCACCTAACGGGCTCTGTGCACTGGACAGTAGTTGTAGCAAGGTCACATCCTCACCTAGCGATTTTTCTCCTTACCTTGCGATATTTCTTACTGGACAGGTTGAGCTCGGTCAGTCACTCACCTAGTGATTGAGTGCGTCAAAAAATCGCTAGGTGAGTACGTGACCGAGCTACCACCACTGTCCGGTGCCCAGAACCCGTTAGGTGAAAGAGTACCGAGATACCACTACTGTCCAGTGCACAAACTCCGTTAAGTGATCTAGTGACCGAGCTACCACTACTGTCCAGTGCACGAACTCCGTTAAATGATCTAATGAGCGAGCTAGCACTACTGTCCAGCGCATAAACTCCGTTAAGTGATCTAGTGACCGAGTTACCAGTACTGTCCTTTGCATAGATCCCGTTATATTAGGTAGGTGGGTGACCGAGCTGCCAAAGCTATCCAGTGCACAGAGCCCGTTAGGTGAACGTATGACCAAACTGTATTACTGAGCAAAATAGAGCAGGGCCTGCTAAGTTCTTAATGGGTGACCTATCTAGCACCACTGTCCAGTCTTAGCGTCCTTTTAGTTTGTAATGTGATACTCTCGTGGGTGATTTGATTCGGATGGGTTTTCGCTAAGAAAATTTAAAAAAAAATGATCTGTAAAGTCAAAGTAATTGCGTTCGACTGCACGAAACCAAAACATCCATTTTTTTATAAAATTTTTGTTATCGGGCTCTTCAGATTTATCCGTTCTAAGTTAACAATCCGTAAACCGGCCAAGGAGTTTAGAACCCAAGAAACGCGGAGGCGAAGCCGAGGCTGTTTCTTGTATAAAATATCGACAGGATCTGCTACGGCCACCCTGCTTCCGTATGACGCCATCAGTGGGCTACTGCGGTTATACCCAGCCGTGGATTCAGTTCCGGTGCTAGCTGTTCCCTCTTTTCAGTGATGATTCGAAAGTAAGGCTTCTTCTCGCAAAACCTCTGCACTACAGGTCGTATATGTTGCGGCGAAATATTCTGTATGAACGATGCTCGCTACGGTGCCAACCAGACAACAAAATGCTAAATATAGCAACAACCCTGTACATTGCTGTTTCGCTGCTACGGCGAATTATCCATAGGACATCATCTTGATTCACAAGATACTCGTACATCATTTGTTCGAGTACGTTCATGCACTACACTTCATATGTAGGATGGACGCTTAAGCTGCTTCTCACTGAGGAAAATAGTACTGGCAAGATGCCACCTCTAAAGCCGGCTGCGCTGTTAAACGACGGAGAGGTACTGAACCGATATTGTTGTCCGGCGAAGTACTTCGCCAGTCACCATTTCTGCAGTACGTCTTTAAGATTCAAAGACCGTAACTGGCGGCCTCACATTTAGTGCAGCGGTTCATTTTACTCAACTGTTTCTCACTCATATAACGTGTGTACTATGAAATTATCATTCACTTTTCTACCAAACTTATTGCGATTCTGATCTTTCTATCACCGGTGGTTTGAATGATTGTTAGTTAGTTCGCTGTAATCCGCTGTAGCCATCTTCAGTGTATCCCATTTCGTGCAGAACGTCGTCAACCATGCCCAGCGGAATGTCTAAATTCAACGCCGTGTTCTTGCGGGACAGTGATCAGCAAATACGCTATGGGCAGGTGGTGGGCCTAGCGAAGGATGGGCTCATCATCGATCTGCGCTGTCCCAGGCGGCGTCGTGAATATGCGCCGTTCGAGCGTGTCTATTTTGCAGATCGCGTTCAAACGCCTCCTTGCTGGTTTACAGAGCTCAGTAATGCTCCTCACCGTTCTGTCATCCCGGGGAAGGTTCTAGTGCCCGAGACGCCAGCGGGTCCCTGGGTGTGGGTGGCAGGTGAATTAATTAAAATTGGACGCGGCTTCACAACGGAGTATTTCAACGCGGCCATTGTCCGCTGGCGGAGTCCCGACACGGGCATGCCGCACACCGACATCGTCCCCATCCAGCGCGTTCGTGGATATCGACAAGACTGCCACTACTCCGATTCCGTCACGCCAGGCGTGTTAAAGCAGTGCATCGTGGACTTGGTGTCACGTATTACCAAATACGTATATTTTATTTAATTCCGCGAGCCAACCAGAGAACTGACTAACTGTAGACTGTATGTCAGGAATGTAAATATTCATAAAGGTTAACGTTGCTAAGCACTTGAAGTCATATACAAAGTACATGCCGTCACACCTTCCCCAGTGTGTTTGTAGTTAAACACACTCAAGCACACCGTTAAGAACCAAATTTAGGATCCGCTATTAATCGATCCGGTTTCACTATGGTTCGCTCCGTTCTACGTAAATTTTCAACTGGCTGCGGCGGCTTGACCTTTTTCGGTTTGGTTGGCTGTTGAGCTACCGCTGCCTCATTTTTCGCTGTTGTTGTCTCTTTGACGTTATCTGGCGGAGGTTTCACCGTTTCATTAGCAGGGCGCGCTTCCTGTTTCGGTGTTTCATCCGCCATCCGTGCTGCAGAATTGTTCTGTGCGTCGACAACTGGCGTTTCTGGCAGTGTACTGCCAAGTTTCACTTCATCTGGTTCCAGCCAGTATCGCGGTCGAATTTGATTATAGTGTCGGCGCCAGACTGTTCCGTTGACGGAAACCTCCCAGATTCGGGCGCCGTCCCGCTTGATCAGTTTTCCACTGACCCAGTCAACGTCGCGACTGGGGCGGAAATCTCGAACGAGAACCAGCTGACCAGGCTGAAAGCTTTTCGGAACTGTCCGCTTATCAAAATTCCTGCGGTATCGCTCACGGTTCCGTTCAGCTGTGGTCATCATGACGGGAATCAGCAGGTCCAACGTTGAACGCATCTTGCGGCCCATAAACAGCTCGGCCGGCGACTTGCCCGTTGTGGCGTGTGGAACGCTGCGATACCGCCAGAGAAACTGACGCAGGGCAACCGGAAGTGTTTTACCGTCTTCCATCAGCTTTGCGATTCCCTCTTTCACGGTCTGTACGTAACCCTCTGCTTGCCCGTTGGACTGCGGGTGACCCGGTGGCGTTCGGATATGCTTAATCCCAAACTGGTTACAGAAATCCGCGAACTGCTGTGAAGTAAATTGCGTACCGTTGTCGGAAACGGCTTCTGCAAATGCTCCGTAGCGACTGAACATCGTGAGCAGAGCATCGATGACAGTCTCGGTCGTGGCGTGCTTCATGGAAATGACTTCCGGCCACTTTGACATGGCGTCCACTACCACGAACAGCATGGTTCCATGGTACGGGCCTGCGAAGTCCATATGTACGCGTTTCCACGGCGCGTCGGGAACTTCCCACTGGGCCAGCGGGACCTTCGCGGTGTCGTGTGCTCGCTCCGCGCAAGTACGGCAGTCTTTGGTGACCTGCTCAATTTCTCGGTCCATCTGCGGCCACCAACAGTAGCCTCGGGCTTCCGCTTTCATCTTCCCAGCCCCCATGTGGGCTTCGTGCAAATATGTCAGCACCTGCTGGCGGAACTTGTCAGGAATCACAGTCCGGTGACCCCAACAAACACAGCCGTTCACCATGACCAGTTCGTGCTCCAGCCGTTTGTACGGTCGGAGGCTGTCGGCAGTGGTGCTAGGCCAGCCGTTTAGGATGTAACGGCTTACTTCTCGGAGCTCCGGGTCGACCAGCGTCTCCTCCGCGATCGCTGTGACTGACAGCGGCAGGTGGTTGGCGTTGTTGCTATGCACGGCACTCACGACACTGTCCATGCCGAGACCGGATATGCCTTCCAGCTGCGTAGAATGCAGTGGCAGGCGGCTCAACCCATCGGCTTGGCCGAAATCCTCCGTCCTGCGGTACTCGATGGAGAAACTGTATCCCATGAGCAGCAGAGCCCATCGCTGTAGGCGGTTGGCGGTTACGACGGGAACGCCCTTCCGGCTGCCGAACACGCTGAGAAGCGGCTTATGGTCTGTCAGCAGCGTAAACTCCCTCCCAGCGATATACTGGTGAAATTTCTTGCAACCAAACACCAGCGCCAAAGCTTCTTTCTCTATTTGGCCATAATTCTTTTCGGCCGCACTGAGACTCTTCGACGCGTGGGCAATCGGTCGCTCTGTCCCGTCGGGGAACCGGTGGCACAGGACAGCACCCAGGCCATATTGTGAGGCGTCGGCAGCCAGCACCAGTGGCATTTCCGGGTTGAAGTGCACCAGGAATGTCGCCCGGACGATGTCCTCTTTCAGTTCTCGGAACTGACGCGCACATTCCTTTGACCAGTCCCATGTCACTCCGGTCTTCAGGAGATTGTGGTAGACATTACACTTCGTCGATACATCGGGAAGGAACTTCCCGTAGTGATTCACCATGCCAAGGAAGGCGCGTAGCTCGCTGACGTTCCTTGGTTCGTCCATATCCAGCAGCGCTTTGGCGCGGTCGCGCGATATGTGTCGGCCGCGGCTGTCCACCACAAAGCCAAGGTACTCCACCGATTCTTGCAGGAACCGGCATTTGGTCTGCTTGAGCGTCAGGCCGTGCTCTTCGAGCCGTTGCAGGACTTTTTCGAGGTTGCGGAGGTGTTCTTCTTCCGTCGCACCGGTGACAATAATGTCATCTAAGTAGACAGCGACACCTTCACAGCCCTGCAGGATCCGCTCGATGATCTGCTGAAAAATGCTCGGACCGCTGGCCACGCCAAACGGGAGACGGTTGTAGCGAAACAGGCCTTTGTGTGTGTTGATCACAACCAGCTGCTTGCTCTCCTCGTCCAGCTCGATTTGGGCGTATGCTTCGGCCAGGTCGAGTGTACTAAATTTGCAGCCACCATTGAGTTTCGCGAACAACTCGTCTGGTGTCGGGAGGGGGTACTTCTGGACATCCAGGGAGTCGTTCAGGCCTGTGCTGAGGTCCGCACATGTCCGGATATCGCCACCCCGCTTCTGAGTACCGACGATCGGAGCTGCCCACTCGGCATGATCGACTGGTGTCAGGATACCGCGTTCCACCAGTCTGTCCAGGTCCTTCTCTACCGCATCGCGGAACGCGAAAGGCACAGTTCTGGCTCTACAGAACACCGGCTTCGCGTTTTGCTTCAAGTACAAATGCGCTTTGTACTGCTTGCAATGGCCCAATTCATCGCGAAAAACGGCTCGGTGGCGGTTCAGGACTTCGTCCAGCTTGAGGTCACCGGCGACCAGCCGGATGGATGACGCCTGCAGATCCTTGAGGCTCAGCCGGCTCAGATCCAGTGCCTGTATCCAATCGCGTCCAAGGACGTTGCCACCTTGCGCAACCACCACTATCGGCAGCGATTTCCGGGTCTGCGCGTGTGTGACCTTTACCGTGGCTGTTCCCATCACACGTAAGGTATGGCCGGTGAAGCTACGCAGTGGATGCGTGTATGGGGCCAGTTTGGTGAACAAATCTGTCTCCATGTCTCCACCGTGATTATGGTGACACCGGAGCCTGTATCGAGCACCGTCGACACTGGGGTGCCGTTCAACTGCACTGGCACGTAAATGGATTGCCCAATCGCGGCGTCAACCGACATGACGTCGAACTCTTCTTCGACCATCATGGTTCGCCGTCCGTCTCGGCCTCGCTGTGGCGGTTGCTTGCTGCTGCGGCATACTTTGACGATGTGCCCTTTCTTCCCGCAATTCCGGCACACAGCGTCCTTTGCCCAACACTCTGTGCGCGCGTGGTTAGCTCCGCATCCGGCGCACGGTGTGTCACCTCTGGGTCCGCTTCGAACTGGCGCGTTGCCTCTGCCGCGTCCAGCTCCTTGTCTGTTTCCCCGCGCACGGTTGCCTCCGCCTCTTCTCGGCGCGCCTTCGATCCTGGCTACTTCAGCGGCGGGCTGACCGCGCTTCGTGCTCTTCGCAAGCTCGTATTGTTGAGCCAATTCCAGCGCTTTCTCCAAGGTCGTAAAATCCTTGGTCATAAGGTGCTGTCGAGTTGCGTCATTAGTGACCCCGTTTAGAAATGTCGATGACAAGTTTTTTTCGAGGACATCAGAAGGGAAATTGCAGTTTATCGCTTTGCGGCGGAGTTTGTTGGAGAAATCAAGGAGAGTTTCTCCAGCGTCCTGCTGCAGTCGGAAGTAATTCGCCCATTCGACGGTGGCATTAGTCTTCCTGACGTATGCCTGCTCGAGTTTGTCTACGATTTGTGCATTTGTATAATCATCAGGATCGCGAGGCAAACACATCGAATGTAACATTTCCATCGCTTCAACCCCAAGAGCGTCAAGCAGAATGGCCTTTTGTTCGTCGGTGTCCGTGACCTTTCGCAATTTGATGTAATTGCGATAACGAAACTGCCAGCTGCGCCAAGTCATGGTCGCTGGCTCAAAACGGAGAAGACCAGATCCGCTATCATCTTTGGAGGGTGCAGAAGCAGGTGCAGAGGTAGTACTGTTTGGCATGGCTGCGCGTATGAGTTAGAAAACAATCCTTCACGCCAGAATGTCACGTATTACCAAATACGTATATTTTATTTAATTCCGCGAGCCAACCAGAGAACTGACTAACTGTAGACTGTATGTCAGGAATGTAAATATTCATAAAGGTTAACGTTGCTAAGCACTTGAAGTCATATACAAAGTACATGCCGTCACACTTGGGCGAAGAGTTTCGCTCGCTGTCTGCGGAAGAAACCGAGGCGCTCATCAGACGATTGAATGACGTCGAGCGGATTCGCCGCTGGTTCTACGTCGCGGCGGTGGATATCGTGGATGGCAAACTGAAGTACATTTACCAGATTGAGCAAAACCGACAGACTACTCCGCATCCGAAGAAGCGTCGGTAAGAGATCGCAGTTTTTCTGGAGTCAGACAAATACGAGTCGTTTTATCCTCTCAAGTAGCGATTCTCCCAATTTCTGGCCAAAACTGGTTTCTGCGCCGAAGCATTCCTTTGTGTGGGTGATGTTCTACTACCGTGTGCGGTTGTGTTTTCAGAGCGATGATGACCTCTTCCATGGCAGTTTCATCCGGGCGGCGGAGAGGCTTTCTGACACGACTCCTGCCATCAACTACAAAATGGCGCTGCCGACCGAATTATGGCAGGGAGTCTTCTCCTACTTGGACACGGTGGACCAGACGAAGCTGGGCGCTGTCTGCGCAACGTGGAACCGGATCATCGATTCACTTGTACAGCGTGCCACAATCGTCATCCGCACCGCCACACGCGGAACGGACGCTTTCCTGGGCTGGGCGACGCTGTACCACTGCCTTCGCCCAGGGACGCAGCGCGTTGTCGTTCAACGTGCGTCTGATAAACGCATGGGCACGGACTACGCGATGCTGGTGTGCGACATGATCCAGTACGTGGCTGATCATCAGCCCGGCATCCGCCTGCGTTGCCTCCATCTGCTTAACGTCGAACTTTGCTTGTTGATACACGGCGCCGCCGAAACCACTCAGGTTTCAGCAGCTCTGCCCAGGCCGGAATTTCGTTTTTACTGGCTCGAGGATTTACTGGCCGTCTGCCACAGTCTGCCGTGCGATGCCCTGCACATCGTTAACGGGGATGTTTCACTGAAGTGGAAGCCTGAATATGGTGCTTCGTTCTCCATCAACATAGCCAGCGCTCGATTGCCGCTCGGCGGTGCTTTCCGCGACGCATTCTTGGAAGCGATGGAGGCATCACTGTCGCTGCCCAGTGAGGGCAAGCTGCAGCTGCTGCCGGGTCTACTTCAGCGGTTGCAAGTGGGCGGGAACCCGAGACGCGAGGAAGAAGTGAAAAAAGCCTTCTGCAAGGTAGACCTGCCTGTTTTGTTTTACAACCGGTTTCTGTTACGACTTGAAGGTCGCTACGGTGCCGATTCATTTTGCAGATGCTGGGCGCATTGGAGTTGGCCGGTCCGCATCCGTCGGCGCATTACCGCGGGATGAAGTGGTGCGTGGACGGTCTGCAAGATGTGCATCTACAGAAGCTGTCGCGGCTGTCCCTGCACTTCCTCGTGCAACTACGGGAGTGGGCGGCTGGGATGACATGGTGAGCTGCGTGAGGGACTGCACAATTCTGCTCCACGTTAAACGCTTAGTTCACTGTTTGTTCACTGTTTGGCAGGAGCTACCGTGTGTTATTAAGTGGTGGTTAAGTCACTTAAGTGATACTTGACGCTTGAATGTAATTGGCTTGAGCTAGTTTCTTTTTCAATCTGATTCACAGCATTTCGTATACCATCACATTCTATTTTTGTTTCGCCTCATTGCTGCATTTTTATTTGGATTCGATGGCTCCATTTATTGTTTGTGCACGATGTTTCTTAGTAAACACCCCAAAGTTTGCGAGACACTTGTGAAGAAATCATCGTAAAACATTTCGCTCAATGTACCAAACGCAGTTTCGAAATCACGATCTACGGGGATTTTATTGGGATTATATATTAATGCTATTTGTAACAGACTACTTGTTGGCCTGACTGTTTTGCAACCCTAACATTCTGACCTTTCGAGTCGCTAAACATTCAGTAGTATCGCTCTTCCTAATTGGCTGATCGCCGCGCTTTCTTAGCCCAATATTCGAAAAAACTCAGCTAGGTCGCCTTAAAAAAATCGAATTTGTCGATACGAAACGTGCCGAAACCTACAAACGGCTTCACACAGCAAGCGTTGAATTACGATTATCGCTGGAAAATAGTTATAAACTTGTACTAATTATTATGATACAAAAAGCCGGTGCTTCTGCTCACATGGAATGGCTTGACATTTAAATTTCAATGCAGTTCTCCCCGATGAACTGCGCCGCCTTGACCTTCAGCTTCTTCAGCCCGCGTTCCTTGGCGAATACCAGATACCGCAGCGCGTTCTCCACGTTGAGACCGTCCGCCATCACGTCCTCGCAATGCGCTCGCCATTCCCGCATATCGTACTTATCCGCCGCCTCCAGCAGCTCCTCCATCCGCTCCCCTTGCTCCAAGGTTCCGCGACACGTATACGCAAACCGCAGCAGCGCCGCCACGATCTCCGCGCTCTCTTCCACCCGGCACACCCCGGACGCCCGCTCCTTCATCTCGGCGTGGAACATGGCGTCGAACACCGGGGATTGCGCGGCGAGCAATGCGCGATGCGCCGGGAACTCTTTGCCCTCGCGGGAGACGATGGTGCAGTCGGCGGAGCGGCCGCTATCCAGTAGGTGGCCCAGGCTGTGGAGCAGCTGACGCTGGTGGGCAGCGGTGCGACCGCGGTCGGGTTGGGTGTAGAACGCCAGGCTGGCGTAGACGGTGGCGCGGCTGCGCAGGCGGCAGTGGCTGGTGCGGCACAGCGCGTAGTAGTCGGAGTCGATGGGGACGGAGACGGAGCGGGCGGTCTCCTGGCTGGCCCAGCCGTCCGGCCCGATGGTCACCTCGAATTTGTCACCGTAACCTGCACTATAACCAAGAAAAAATATGAGTAGTTTACGCTGACAGTGTTCTCCCCATAAAATTCGTACTTGTATTGTAAAAACAAAAACCAAGTTTTTTTTTATGGTTGTGCATTTCGTTTTGTCTCATATTTCGTTCATTTTACTTTAAATATACACTGTTTTATTTCTGTCACCTGGTGTTTAAATTTCCGGACAAACAAAAATGCTCAAAATGAATGGCTTCCATAGTAAAAATTTCCCTCATGCATTTCGAAGCATAAACAAGAAAAAATTGTAGGAGAATCACTCGTGAAACCTGGAAAATTAAGCCAGAAGAAAGAGGAAATAATAATCAATGTACTGTAATAAAAGCTACAAAGAAAAACAAAATACTAAAATTATTGGCATAAATGCCTAATAATTACCTGACGGTTCCGCTGACCGCGCACTCCACGCGTATCGTTTCCGGGCTGGTCAGTTGTGTGCGCTCGATGCAGGGCTCGATCTTGGCGGAGGCAACGCCGTTGGTCTGGTTGACGGTAATGGTGATGCACCAGACGGTCGGTGGAATGCCGGTGTGCTGCGGCTGCTCCTCCACACCGATATCAGCCGTGTAGATCCAGTAGCCGCAGCCGTTGGAGCTCTTCTCGAAGCGCTCCGTGGGAATTTCGTATAATAGGACGATCGGATACAGGACGCCGCTGTGCTGCGTTACAGTGCGGCAGGTCATGGTCAAAATAGTGGAGCAACGTGATGTCTTATACAAGCCGCTTCCAGTCGAAATAGTAAAAAAGAACACTGATAGCTCCGTACAGGGGTCTGCGTGTATTTTTATCTAAGGTTAGTACGTATCTGCTGTAATGTGTTAGCTCTAATACTGTGCTGGAATTTTTGTACGTATTCAGTACAAACATGGCTTCAAATTGCATTAAATTGTCTCATCAGGCAAAATGCATGCAAATATGTACCGAACTCACATGTCCTAATGTAGTATCATGCAAGGTTTGCGTGATGTGTGTCTGATGCCGGTACAGGCGGAAGTTGTATCGTTGTGCACTGACGCATAAAGCATTCCAATGTCTCACACACATGCGGATTATGTGCAATGGTATGTACATAGAGCAAGTACAACATGTACTGCGCTTTGTACATGCATGTTCAACATGTATGCACCGGCTGTGCCATTGCCGCTGTTTACACCGGCTGTATCCTTGTATACTGTAGTAACTGTACATGTGCAGTACATGTCATAATGATTATTATAACAGTTTATCGTAAATCGTAATCATTGTAATGTGCGCATACAGATGTAGATTTTACTACTATATCGATAGTACTAGCCCGGTAGGAACGTATATAATGCGACAATTGTGACTTGCGTTAATTTAAGAGTTTAATAATCAATAACAGACTATCCAATGTGCAGCTGATATATTCTACCTGTATAAAATCTTTGCAGTTCCTTAATATTGTGTTTTAATTTTCGATAAAACCTTACTAACATCGTCGCCCACTACGAAGCCGCGAAGTTGAAGAACTTTTTGCGTAGCGATTTTGTGCGACAACCTGACGATTATTGTCTTAGTCGGTGATATCAGATACATATGTACATTCACATATACAAAAAATCGCAGTGAAACTGTATCATAATCTTCGCTCGACCTGCAGGACCGAAAACAAGCCGTTCCTTCATAAATATTCACAAATTTTTTCACTGGGTGGCAGCCATAGAAGATTAGCCTCTTGTGGTGTTTATCCAGTTTTACGATACATATTCTTAATTAATTTTATAAGAGAATTAATTAAACGCAGCTGCGCTGGAAACAACCGCAAAAAGTGAGCTGTTACCGCGCCTAGAAAGTGCCCCGCGGGCGCTACGTGATTCAGCCACAGCTAACCACGGTGCATGCTCATAGCGCGTGGCGAATTAAACTGCTCGACAAAAGCAGTCGCTGCAAAAGAACCGAATAAATTAAGTACCGTACTCACTATATGGGACATTTCCGTCAACACCGAAAAACTAAGCGGAATAACACCTTGCGCACTATCATGCAGCTTGGGGCTAAATTTCTTTGCCGCTTAACAATCACACGCGCGTATAAAAGCGAAGCTAACTGCTTTTTACTTAATCATAATTATTACACATTAATTTTTCTTTATTTTTTACTCGTGCAAAATCCTGAACAGTGTGTAAAATGTCGGCGCGCGTAGCATGTCTTTTCCTCGTCTTCCTCGTCGTGTCAGCCAGTAAGTGTATTTGAATATAGTTGTATTGCGATTTGCGATTATCTAGTTTAACCCTTGTGCTGTGTCGTGTAGATGCGTATTCCCTGGAGAGAAGTCGTCGCAATGTTCTGACCGATGCCGGAAAGGGCGGAGTAGTGGGAGCCGTGATCGGAGCGCTGGCGCCCGGTGTCAGTGCCGGCGACGGCGCCAAGGTGGGCGCGGCGGCCAATGTGGTCAAGGGCGTGGTGCAGAAGCATTTGGGCAAGAATAAGGACTAGAGAGCCACTAAAGCAGCCGCATGGGAGTTCTTCACTGAAGCGCTGTACGTTCGTTAACGTTTGAGTTGTGATAGGAATGATGTCTTACCTGAATCTGTATACTGTTGTTCAATGATTTTGTACAATTGTTTACAAATAAACGGGAAACGTGCTGCACTCATAAAAAAAAGACACGAGAAAGTGCAACAACTGGACAACCGAAATGTGCGCCAACGAACGGTTCAGCAGCAGATACACGCGGAAATAGGCAAGAGAAATCACAAAATCAACAGAAACTGCGATAGATCACTAAGGCCTCGTCCCGAATTCAAAGCGAATCTCGTTGCGATACAGCAACTCCACCTCGCGAGGTGGCTTCGCGTACCGTATCTGTAGGCGTGGCCACTGCATACAGCCACCTCGTGCGGTTGAGCAACCATACCATAGCGAGATTCGCTTCAAATTCGGGACAGGGCCTTATACGAATCATCAGTATCAAATGTATATGCTAATATCAGCTTGTGAATAGGACTCTAGGACTTGTCAAAAAAGCAGCACGCCTGAAAATGTTCTTCCGTACAATGCCAAAACACACACAGCGCTAGAACGCTGCCTAACCTGTCGCTATACGAGAACCTCGTCCTGACATCCCTGATTGCCATGTACATAAGGAATTTTGAAAATCCTGGCAACTGATTATCGTGTATCTGTTCACCGCTGACTTTGCATATTATAAATTAATCTAGTATTAGTCCATAATTTAAAACTTCTTGTACCCTTTCGCCTTTCGATTACACAGTAATGCTGTGTACCTTGTGGTTATGTTTTCGGCATCAATTTCAACCATCTACCAGCGCCATCACCGACGTTATTTTCAACAGTTTTCCGGAGGAAAACGTTATGAAAGTCACGGAAGCACACGAGGAATATGGAGTTTTTGAGTATGGCATAGCAGTAACACTCTCCGAAAGCACAGCGTATCTAGATTTTCGTTGCACAGACACACAAAGCGAATGGGCTCTTTTTGATTAAATCGTCCTTTTCCCAATTGCTTGTTACAACACAGAAAACGAGACATATTATAGACAGTTCAACACACGATTTTCTGTTTGGTTTAAAGCCAATGTGGCCAGTGCAGTGCAAATACTAGAAGAAGTAAACAATTTATCGCTAAATTAGGTTAAGGCCGTCATTTAGCCGCTTAGAGAAGCGCCGGCCTCCTTTCGACAAAGCTGCCGATTTATTCGCATAGCCATCCACACGACCAGTGATTGGTTGACCTTTTAACCGGATGCCATCTTGCTTTATTCATTCCAATGACTGTTGGCGCCGCGCAGCGGCTGCGCTCACTTGCTTTCTTTATCGTTTGCTGCATGGAAAATTAGGAATCGATTTGGGTTTTGGAATTTCTTCGCTAATTATTTTCCTTTCCAGAAGTATATTATCTCCATTTTATGGATTATCCTTGATCGGTTTTATTGCCCACTAACCTTCCGTTACGCGAGTTAAGCACTCAACTCGGCTACGTCTACTGAACTCCACATCTGAACTGTTGTTTCAGGCGGGAAACTTGAACTCCTGATCTTCTCAACCATGTCCAAGAGACTGCATTACGGCAACAGTGTGGACGTCGTGGGTGACGATGGGATGATGCGGCGCGGACGCGTGGTGGACCTGGCGTACGACGGGCTCTTCGTCGATTTCCTCTGTCCCACTCGACACCGAGAATTCGTCCCATTCGGCAGGCTCTTCCCGCCTTACAAACCATACAAGAAGGGAAACGGTAATCGGCCTCGCACTGTTTATAACGAGTTTTCAACTGTAACCGTTGAAGCCCTCGTTCCAGAATCACCGATGGGCCCGTGGATCTGGTTCCCGGGGGAAGCGGTGGTTTTCGGATCCGGTGTGCCGCGGGACGAGCAGAGTATCGGCCCCGTGGTCCATGTTCGCCGTTCGCCCAGCGGAACGCCGTGCACCGAGATCGTCCCCTGGAATCGGATTCGCCGGCAAGAATCGCGCGAACCGATTCGTCCCGGGACGTTCGTTAAGGATAGCGTGCAGTTGGACGATCAATTTCGCTCAATGGCCGCGGAGCAAGCCAAGACGATCATTCAGCGAGTGAATTCTGAAGTGAACAACCGTCCCTTTCGTTCTACCATGAACGTGGTGAGTTTCGTTGACGCCCGGCTGGATTTCATTCCGTTCCGGGATTTTTCCGGCCCGCCAGACTGGCACTATCGACCTGCTGACCGTGATTCAGCTCGGTCGGATGTGCTGCGCGCTTTTTGGACCGTCGATGCGGAACTTCATGGTGAGCGCAGCAGAAAATCGAAAGTTCCAAGCGAGGATCCAACAAACAACGCAAAGATGGAATCGCTTCCTTTGGATTTGCTGGTGGAAGCGTTTTCGTATTTGGAAACAGCGAAGCAGACTGAGCTGCGCAGGGTCTGTGCCGCGTGGAACTCGATAATGGACGCACCGACGCTGTGTGCTTGTATCATGATCAGAGATGTCGCTGAGTACTTATGGGGGCGAGGGTTCGTTGACATGGCAACCGTGTTCAAACGCTTGCATCCTGGCGCGCAGCACGTGGTCCTGGTGCACGAGACGAGCGTGACCACTGACCAGCGCATTACGGGCATGATGCGGCTGTGCAAGATAATCAGCTATGTCGCTCAGCAGCGACCCGGAATCCGCCTGCGAAACATGGTGCTCCGCGGTTTCCAGTTCAATGTGCAAGTGGATTGGTCGGCCAACGTATCCGCATGTCTGGTGCATCCGCCTCTTCCTTCCGAGTTCCCGCGAAATGGAACGCCTCTGTATCGTCTGCAGGATTTCATCACCGCATGTAGTCGTCTCCCGTGTAACACCATTTTCTTGTCAAACTGCGAGCTTCGTTTGGTCTGCTGTAATTATGTTTTTGTGACAGGCGTGTGCAGCTCACAGCCAAGGTTCCGCTATTGCCAGTACGTCAGGATTTTGGCTGCGTTGTATGGGACGCGTTGGAGACGGCGGCACCGGTAGCGAGCGAATGGTTCCTGCAAGAGCTGTCCCGCTGGATGAAAGGCACTACGAATGGACACAAGGAAAAGTTATGTGCGATGCTGTATGGCACACAATCCTCTGATCCGCGTCCGTCGGCGCATTACCATGGAAAGAAGTGGGTGGTGGATGAGCTGCAAGAATTACAGGTAGAGACTCTGTCGCGTATCTGCCGGTATTTTCTCTTGCAGGTTCAGAAGAGGTGTTGAAGGACTGACGATTTTGGAGCCATGGCTCGTGGATGACAGATTGTTAAATGACGCCCTGGGATTTTGGGGTTGAGAGTTGCGCTTTCTTTTTTCTTCACGCAACTTATGACTTCGCTCTCGTTTTTTTTCTGTTGTGTTCTGGACAATATTTTAGCAACCTTTTTGTAGATTGTAATACCTTTCGTAGCGTTCAGTTTTTTACGTTAATGATCCTTTCATTTGCCATGTAGTTGCCGATTACTGATTAGCATTGAACGTGAATTCCGATTATCGAGCGCTCTAACTGTTGTGTCTTATTGTTCTCTGATACATTGTCAATGCTAAAAATTATTCAAATCTCGATAACGATTTCTCCTGAAGTCTGCAATAACGGCATAGAGACACCCGGCTGAAAATAATTGTCGATAATAATTGCAAATCACTAAAATTCCGTCGAAGAGTAGTTCCTTCCTTTCTGTAGTCGCATCTGCTTAATTTCTCTTCAGTTGTCCCTCTGAAATTGCCGAAAAGAGGCCGAACGACGCATTTCCATCAAATAAAGAAAAAAATTTCAGAGAAAGGTGCGAGACGTGCGACAAGGTATTAAGTCTTTAACTGTATCAAAGTTTAAATAAAAAAGGTTAAGTTGTTTCACTCATAACGCTATCACACAGACGCTTTGCACCGCTAAAAAGTTTACAAATGAAGAGCTGAGAACTGCATGGAATTACTGAAATCATAATTTCAGTAACTCCATGGAATTAGCTACTAGATTTCTGATTTCAGCTCTCAGTTTTGGCGCTTCGTTCGTGGTGTGGCCGGTACACTTTGCGGCAACTTCATCACCGGAGATTGAAAAAGGAAAGCGAGAGAGCGTTCCGAGTCAGTTACTGGAGCTGGGAAAATTAATCTTCTTAAAAACAGCATTAACCGTTGTCAATAACTGTCACGACTTGAGGTGGCGGCACAATACGTATTTAAATTGTATGCGAATTCCGTATCCTGGAACCCGGTAGGCTGTGAGATTGCAGACTTCCCGTGCGGTAACTGAGGTTTGAAGAAGTGCCGGCATGACCTGTGCCCGGTGCCTGTGCCCGGTCCCTTCGCCCCCCTTTTATTTATAAAGACCTGAGCAATACGCATAGCAGAATACGTACAACTTGCGGCAACATGTCAGAGAAAGTAACAGTCAGCGTTTGCCCTGTAGGGCGGGTGGGTGGTAATTTCAACAACGCAACAGCATTAATCAGTAAGAACACGAATGCGAGTGATATTGAGCTGTAACGCACGAAAGGCAGATGCACACGGCGCCGTGCTGCCGGCGCCGGGATGAACAGGGAAACAACTGTACAGGGATACTGAGATTGCGCCAATTTAACATTTGCTGAGTAAACTTTTTCGTTTAATCGTAAATAGACCTAGATATTGTCATCGAGCCATGGAAATAAAGTGCAAAAAAAAGTAAACTTAACTTTCATATATTATGAACCGCCACTGAGGGCGCAAACAACCAACTGATCGTTGTCATCAGGACAACAATGGCACACTGCAACCGCAGTTGCCGTGCTGGACAACACACCGCATAGAGGTCACAGCGGACACAACATTATCGTGACATCAGTGCCACTGCACTACGCCACAATAACGATTGTCATTACTCGCTTGGACCGGTTTAGATGTAGAAGGGTTGCCGAACTATATAGCCAGATGTTTGGAAACCTTAGTGTACCCACAATACTGACATGTTAGCTGAAGACGGACAGCTGTTTCCTTGCTGTCCTTCTTCTGGCGGCATGTAAGGCTTGTAGCTGATGCAGAACTCCAGGCGACGCATCGAGTAGGTAGTCGAAAGATAATTGCTAGCTACCCGAAAATCTGTATCTAGAGAAGGCGCACCAGTCGTGGCGCTGTGGCAGTCGCTGCGAGCGTAATGCTGGACGGTATTCACCGATACCGTGACCGATGCTGTGAATTGCAGCCGATCATCATTGCTTCCAGTTAAAGATCAATTATTGTCACAATAATTGTCGGCTGAGATGCACAGCACGCAATGGAGAAAACGGCAATAATGAAGGGGGAAACGGCAATAATGAAGGCACAAGCATATCGAAAGCGCGACGGGATCCTAACCGCGGCCGATGAGTTGACACTTGGAAGCAACGCCGAAAGCAACGCCGAATGCAACTGCTACTAAGTACCACAGTTTTAATCGATGAAAGTCGTGCGGGCCAGTCGATCGATAATTTCGGAGTGCATTTGATGGCTCACGAGAGTCACGTCAAATGCTTTACCGTTGAGTGTTTCTGTGATCGTTTTATTCAGCCGCGTGATATCTCCAGTAGCATGTATAGCTGAACTGGGGCAATCGATTGCCATTTTCGAATTTTTACAAAAGGCGTTACTCACTCCGGAGTCCGGATCAATCGCTTTGTGGCTGCTTCAAGCTATGCAGCATCGCCGGTCGTTTGATACTCTCTCCTGTGCTTATTACGGGAACGCTAATTAGAATGTAATACAGTGTATAAGCGTTCACCGGGTGCAACTGATCACAACACCGACTTTTATCACGTAGTATACCAGCAGCGGCAACAGTGGTAGAGTTACGGTACTTGTACGGATATCGGTAACAATCTATCCACGATGCGCCAGCGGAGTACGAGCACTGAACTCGTACGCTACTTTAGAGTCTTCCGCAGCTGCGATGCAGAGACACTTCGAACCAGCGAGGCGTGTATTGGCAAATACTGCATCAGGCTGCAGGTTTACCGTCGAATCATTAAATCGATATTGCAACGATGCGAGGCATAGTCTCAGCTAAGAACTGGGTACATTGAAGCTTTATCAGAAAATTCTACGCAATGTTAACTTTCGCAGGCATTGTAATTGGATGACTAATAAACTATTGCCGACTAATGAAAACTGTAAGGCGAACAACAGCATGTGCATGGGTGCGGATTTTAATTCACGAAAATCCCTGGCAAACATATTTGTCTGTCGGTACAACGAACGGAACTGCCGGTACCTCACCCGCGAGCCACACCCAGGGACCCTGCGCTGTCTCCGGCACGAGGACTTCCACGGGAGTAGTGGAAAACTCTTCGTAACGCGTGTCGAAAAGCTCCAAAGAGTTGGTCTGGGCCGGGAAGAGCCGTTCGAAGGAGTGTACTCACGGCGCCGATTAGGACAGAGCAGATCGACGAATAATCCGTGGTCGGCCACGTCTACCACGAGTCCGCGCCGCACTATCCCGTCGTCGCCCAGAACTCCACGCTGTTAGGATGTTGCAGTCTGCTGATCATGCTGGTGATGTCTTGGCACGAAGGTCTGCCTGTTAATACTGCAATGCAGATCTAAATTCCAAATAACAGTAGAATAGTTCTAGATTTACGAGTACAAAAATTAAAACACAACGCAGCCGGTCGTAAATATATATGGGGAAAACGTGAACCAAGCACAGGAAAACAACGGCGAACAGCAGCAGCGTGTTTTGGCTGTATTAATAGAAACTCGTTAGTATTGCCCAGCGCACACTGCTTCGTTAATTTTGACAATTAAAATGTTTATACAGATCGTATGGTAGAACTGTCCAATTTTCACTCGGCCTAAAGAATACGCGGTTATCTATCCGGCAAAACTAACTCTAATCCGCCCAATGGAAAGAGACAGCCAATCAGTGGCATGCGACTGTCCACGCATGTACATACAACTCATACAAGCGCACCAAACAAAAGCTTTAACCACGTGCAGTCGTTGCCGGCGTTGTTAGCCATCATCTAATTAAGTGCACATTAGCCAAATCAAGAGAAACAAATTAAATCAACCTGTACTTCTTGACTCGTAAAGATGTTTAGGTGGGCCGGTATATGATACTGTCGTATCCGATTATCCAGCTGCTTATTTTTCGTAAATTCCGGACAGTTTGCTCTTCTTGGGGTACTTGAAAATTTCAGAATCAATTCACCCATTTTCAAGCTATTTTCGTTATAAAATTCCACAGTTATGCAATGTATTACGTGATTATACAACCTAAAATGAGAAACATCAAAAGACACCCCAGTATGAAACACCAATAGGTCAGATTCGAAATTAAAAGAGTAAATCCAAAGAGTTTTTTAACTCGGAAGCAAAAAATCAACCAAGAACACATAAAGTTGCTGTACTTGTATACTTGTACACTTGTTGACTTGTCAGCAATCCGAGGAAAAGAAAGACAGCTTAGAAATCCGAGTATCGGCGCATTCGGACCAACCACAGTGGTAGCAGCCCCCCTTGTCATAACACACGAAATCGATTGGAGTGGGCGCGCGGATGGGCGCCAGTTCAGCGTCGTCTGGATAATCCCGCACCAGGATGGTCAGCTGCAGATTCCCCGGGACAACTCCATCCAAGTGCCTCACGTCTTGTTTCCGCCAAAATCGCCAGAATCGTCTACGTTTAGGGCTTCGTATGTTCCGTAGCTGCAGCATACAAATAACCTTGTAAGACACCAGTTGCATCTAACCATTCAGTAGTTCGATATTTCTCTTATTTCAGCCACTTAAATTATGCGGTTTCAAATTTGGGTCACCTACACCTCTTCCAGGTGGCGCGCTGGAAGAATAGCTGCGGATCGCAAACTCTTCTAGGCTAAAAGATTGTGCGATCAGCAGCTATGTAAAAGCTAAAAGTTTTAGCTTTTACATTGCACCCGGTACACTTTCTTAAGTTAACGCTTAGAAATTCACGAGCGAAGTTTTTACTATGAAAACTATTCAGAAGCTTACAATTTCAGCAGCTATCGATGCTCCTGCCACTTCAGTCCCGGATCTGGCACCATTTTCACCCACTTAGCGTGAAGTTCCATACGAAAGATGTTACAATCAGCAAAAACGATCCAAAAATATTGTCCAGCAAAAACAGGCGAATAACAGACCGATGTCCAATTTTGGTATTACTGCATGAAAAAAATGAGAAAGCGCATCAGCTATCAACCATAAAATACCTGAAGCACCATTATCAAGCTGTCATCCACAGCTGGCTTCGAAATCATCAGTCTATCAAAACGTCTTCTGCAGCTGCAAAAGGAAATACCGACAGACAGGCGACAGATACTCTACCTGTAAATCTTGCAGGTCATCCACCATCCACTTCTTGCCGTTATAATGCGAGGACGGACGCGGATCACAGGATTGTGTGGCATACAGCATGGCGCATAACGATTTCTTGCGTCCATCCGTAATGCCTTTCATCCAGCGCGAGAGCTCTTGCAGCTTCCATTCGCTCACCATCGGCACCGCCGCCTCCAACGCGTCCCACACAAAGCAGCCGAATTCCCCACGTATGGGCAGTTGCGGAATCCGGGCTGTCAGCTGCCGGCGCCGCAATTCTGAAACATAATTACAGCAGACCAAACGAACCATACAGTTTGACATGAGAATGGTATTACACGGGAGACGACTGCACGCTGCAATCAAATCCTGCAGCCGATACAGATGCATTCCATTCCGCGGGAACCCGGGAGGATCCGGCGGATGTACTGGACATCCGGACACGTTGGCGGACCAGTCCACTTGCACACTGAACTGGAAACCGCGGAGCACCACGTTTCGCAGGCGGATTCCGGGTCGCTGCTGAGCGACATAGCCGATCATCTTGCACAACCGCATCATGCCCGTAATGCGCTGGTTGGTCAAGCTCCTATCGTTCACCAGTATCACGTGCTGCGTGCCAGGATACAAGCGTTTGAATACCGTCGCCAAGCCGGAGAATCCGCGATCCCACCGATAATCATAGCCATCTATGATCATGATGCAAGCAAGCAGCGTTGGCGCGTTCATCATCGAGTTCCACGCTGCGCAGACGCTGCGTAACTCGGTCTGCTTTGCGGTTTCCAAGTAGAAAAATACCTCTACCAACAATTCCAACGGAAGCGATTCCGTCTGTGGGTTATTTGCTTGATCGTCGCGTGAAACGTTGGATTTTCTGCTGAGCTCGCCATACAATTCCGCAACGACGTTCCAGAATGCGCGCAGTACAATTGATCGAGCCCAAACGCGATCAGCAGGTCGATAATGCCAGTCTGGTGGGCGGGAGAAATCCCGCCACGGGATGAACTCTAACCGAGCGTCAACGAAACTCACCACGTTAATAGTGAAACCAAAGTGCCCGTGATTTACTTCATAATTCAGTCGCTGAATGAGTGTCTCGGCATTCTCCGCGGACATTGAGCGAAACTGACCATCCAACTGCACGCTATCCTTAACGAAAGTCCCGGGACGGATCGGTTCGCGCGAACCTTCCCTACGAATTCGATTACTGGGAACGACCTCGGTGCGCGAAGTTCCGTTTGTCGTACGGCGAACATGGACCACGGGGCCGATTGTCTGCTCGTCCGGCGGCACGCCGGATCCGAAAATTACCGCCTCACCCGGGAGCCAGATCCACGGACCCATCGGCGATTCTGGAACGAGAGCTTCAACGGTTACAGTGGAAAACTCTTTATAAACAGTACGAGGCCGATTACCGTTTACCTTCTTGTAAGGCGGGAAGAGTCTGTCGAATGGGACGAATTCCCGGTGTCGGTCGGGACAGAGGAGATCGATGAAGAGTCCGTGGTACGCCAAGTCCACCACGCGTCCACGCCGCATCATCCCGTCGTCACCCAGGATGTCCACGCTGTTGGCGTACTGCCTCTTGGGCATGGTTGGAAGCCTAGTTATTCCTCCTGAAACGACAGCTCAGATACAAAATTTTAAAAAATTAGGAAAATTGTGCCTTTTACTCGCGTAGCGGAAAATTAGTGGGCAGTCAAACCAATCAATAATAACGAATAAAAAAGCGCAAGAGCTGTTTCCGAAAAGGAAGAATAAAATAACTAGCGAACCAATTCCAAATCATAAATCAACTCCGAATTTTTAGTGCAGCCAACGACAAAGAACGCAAATGAGCTTAGCCGCAGCGCGGCGAATGCTGTGCAGCGGAATGAACAAAGCAAGATGGCGACCGGTCAAAAGGTCAACCAATCACTAGCCGTGCGGATAGCTCTGCTGATAAATCGGCTGCTCTACTTTATAGAAACGAGGCCGGCGTTTCTTTTGACGGCCATAATCTGAGTAGCGATTACTAGTAAGTAGTAACCGTGAACTGCTATTGGCACTGCACTGGGCACACTGCCTTGTTTGCACTGACGCGCGGCGTCTCTTAATTTTATTGAGTTGGTTATTAGCGAGGATTTTAAACATTACATTCAGAAACATCACATTACAAAACAATAACAGCATTAAGACCATCCGAACGTGGGACGGTCGACGTAACAGACAAAACATTTTGGAATTTGCGATAAGCAAGCGGCTAGTACCCATGCTACAGATACCATGACTCGGAGGCACCGCGTCATGCGTTTGAAAGGAATGCTTGCCTCTTTCGCCTTGCGAAAAACTGCACGCGCGATGGACCGGCCACGGGCAGACACAGGGCAGACCAAATTCTCCCTTCTCCTGTGATTCATCCATCGTTTTACCTCTCGCATGTGCATGTGCACTTGCGGCCTACCGATTGTCACTTTTGGTAGTCGGGCCCGTCTCTCTGTGACCATGACTGTTCCTAGTAAGCACAGTCTTAATTGATTTTTAATTACTTTTTATGACTTGTGCTCGCGATTTCTGGGCATGTGTACTAGTCCGGTTGCTTATCGCAAATCAGGTATTGGCTTGTACTGGCTAGCATGGCTGGTAAGTACGAATTCTGCTGTTTGTAGTTTCCAAATTCGAAGCGCCTGTTTTAAGCGGCTGATCTAGCTATAAACCGAATAACATAGATGGCGGCAAACAACCGCCGTCTTCCACTCGAGCGCACGTATATCTGTCGATGCCTCTTACGACAATTATTATTATTATAATCACGGTTTCTAGTAATGTAAGCTATTTAAGGTGTATCATGTCCATACAAAACAACTACGTCTAATAAAAACACCAAAACTTGCAAGAAGTGACCCCAAGAGGATCTCCAATGGATTGGCCGGGTTCGTTATCTGTCTTTACTAAGCAGTTGGGAATAGAATGGTCTGCCCAAAAAGAAGCCGTTTTTCGTTTTGTCTGTCGTTTGTCTGTCTGCGCAGCGAAAATCAACGAACGCTCTGCTTCCGGTGCATGTTGAATCCTGTGCCGTCAGTCTCAAGACTTCGACTTCCTCGTGTACGTTCTTCGCACGTTGAGAAACTGCTAGGATTCTCGAAATGCGTTATAGGCATGGCAGTGAAGCAACGTCGAAGCAGCAGCAGCGTGATTTGGCCGTAAAAATAGAAAATCTTCAGTATTGCACAGCGTACACTGCTTCATTAATTTTGACAATTACAATGTTTATACATATCGTATGGAAAACTGTCCCGTTTTCACTTGGCCTACCTAATACGCGGTTATCAATGCGGCAGACCTCACTCGGATCCGCGCAAAATGGAAAGATGCAGCCAATCAATGCCAGCCGAAGGTCCACGTACGTACACACGCCCCAAACAGACGCTTTCCTCGTGCAGTCGCCAGCGTTGTTAACATCAATCTAATTAAATGCACTTCAAATAAATCAAGAGAAAGAAATTAAATCACGCTGTACTTCTTGGCTCGTAAAGATGTTTATGTGGACCAGCCTATGATGCTGTGGTATCCGATTAGGCTGGATTAGCATATATGTAGCTCACTATCTGTATACGAAAAGGTAAGTGGACTCAACAACACATTGTTAAATGAATGGGCGACATACAATAAAGTTTGCTTAGGCCAGTTAGTTATTTTTCTTCCAGCGTTTTATTTTGGCAAATTCCGGACAGTTTGCTCGTTTTGGATTACTTGCATTTTTCCGTACACCAGACTCTGTGGTGCAATCTTGAAAATTTTTCAATCAATTCAACCATTTTTAAGTTATTTACGTAAGAAAATCCCACAATTATGCAATCTATTATCAGTATAATGCGATTATGCAACACAAAATAAGAAACATCAAAAAGAAACCCTAGCACGAAACACCAATATGTCAGATTCCAAATTCGAAGAGTTTCGTAACTCGAAAGCAGATTCAGTGAAGAACACATAAATTTGTTGAACACTGGTTGGCTTGTTCATCCACGGAAAAGAAAACCTGTCTAGAAATCCGAGTATCGGTGCATTCTGTCCAACCACAGTGGTAGCAACCCCCTTTGTCATAACACACGAAATCGATGGGAGTAGGCGCGGGGATGGGTGCCAGATCAGCGCCGTCTGGGTACTCCTGCCCCAAGATAATTAGCTGGAGATTTCCCAGAAAATCTCCATCCAAATGCCTCACGTCCAATTTCCGCCAAAATCTCCAAAATCGCCGGCGTTTAGGGTTTTTATACGTTCCGTAGCTACAATATACAAATAACCCTGAAAATGTGAGAAACGCCTGTCTTAATGAGCAAGCTCACAATTTCAGCAGTTGCCGAAGCTCCAGCCACTGCGGTCCCGGATACGGCACCATTTTCACCCAATTGGCGTGAAGATCCATGACGCGCTTCCTTACTGCCGGATCCACCGGAGGACAGTGGGCCATTAACGCCGATTTGAACTGTTGCAGGCATTCTGCTTTCTCCGCTTTGCCACGGGCATAAGGCAAGCTCATCTCGGGGATCCTGATACTCATAGAGAAAGATCCCCTAGATTCGACAAATCCCGGCATTGGATGCTGAAACGCACAGCCCAGAAAGTCGGCGGAGTATGGAGAAGCGTCAAAATCCACCGTGTAGTTTCTGATGAACAACCGTTGGCACACATCCGTCAAATCCAGCGCATGGAAATACATGACACTCCAATTCTCATCATCTGGATTATCTTCGTCGGTTGGATATAGTCTGCCAACGCGCACGCGCAGATTCATCAGCATGATCAACGGGAGTATGCACTTGATTTTTAGCAGCTGCACGATAAGCAACAGATAATAGTTATTGAGAGCGCCGTTGTCCGTGTTGCGGTGAAAGAGATTGTGGAGAACTAAGGCGTGAGTGTTGCGGTTAACGGTGTGGTGCAGGCGCGCTAGCAGGTAGCCCTCTGTTTTTCGGTAAAGCGGCCATTGCGTGCTGAGATTAGCCAGGTCCAGAATGATGCACGCGTTAAAAGGGATCCGGCAGCAAGAGATCCCACAGTGCGCATGTTCTGTACACTAAATGTGCTTATTGTATTTAGATTTTACATGTACTTTTCTTTTAGGCATTATCGTAAGGGAACGACTTGGTATGGTATTACCTAATATAATTGCTACTTCCTTAATTACGAATCAGTATCGGTTATAGTAGTGAGAATTTATTTTTTAAGTAATAAAGTATCAGTTGTATTAACATTTAAGTATTAGTTATTATTGAAATGTAAACTTCGATATTGAGAGACTGCACAGCATAGTAGCGGCAAATCATATAAAGAAGGTAAAGCGCTCACCGTTTCGCCCTGACTTTAGAGTGGATATCCAAAGATTCCAGAACGAACGAGATGATTTCAGGCGGCATATACTCGAACAATTCATGATCCTCTGTACAGTCTGCACCAAACGAAAAGTATGCTTGATACAAACGTATTCGTTCACAAAATAATGAATATTCTCTTCGTTCTGATGACCTCAACCTACCTGATATCGAGCACTCGCGGCCGCCAGGACATCGTTCGGGTTTTCCACAGTACTGAGATAAATAGTATTCCACACCCACAGCAATTCTCTCCGCCGTATTAATCTTCCAAGACCAGTTCGATTCCCATTCATTCGGGCAACAGAGTGGACTAACGTGCGAGCACTGTATATGCCCAATAAGAAAATATAAGCTCTTCGCATTTATTCGCACAAACAACCGATCCGCATACTCCTGATAGGACCTCTCGCGTTTTCCCCCGCGGAACACCATATCCAGCATCCGTATAACACGATACTCATCGATATCCAACAGTTCCATGGTGCTTACCGGGATCACCACTTTTCGCGGGTGAGGTTGATAGTTTGATTCATCCGTTGGAAACCGCGGGATGCTGTTCGTATCGGCTATCTGCCAGGGATGTACAACATAAAACTCTCCCACTTGATCCAGGTTATCCACAACGACACAGCTCAGAAATAAATTCGCCTCCGTGCTTTGCTGCGCCAGTTTCCCTGGGCGGTAAACATAGGGACCGGTGGGAGTGTTTCGTAGTGCAACATGCAGAGGTTCGTACTGCATTTCTTCCAGTGTGTTGAGGTGACCGTACGCGTGACTGGAAGTCATCCATACTTGTTTAGCTGCCACCCAACAAGGGGCGATATCGGCACAGTCGAAATCTATGAAGAGCCGCTCTTCGTCCGTGTCTTGAAGAAATCCCAGGTACAATTCATCGGATATCAGATTAACCATCACGGCATAGCCCAGGTTGAAGCATCCACGACGTCTTCCCGTCGAAAAATACGTATTTAAAGCAGACTGAACCGCCATTTCGCTCATTTGGAACTGAAACCGTAATTTTTAGGCAACAGACGGTTTGCCAGGTGTTAGGATCTGTAGAACTGATTTAAATTTCTGTCTGCAAGAGCCCAAGTTTAAGTTCATAGCAGCTCTACTGGAAGCATTACAGCGCATGCTCGGTTTTTGAGCGATCACCTAACAGAAAAATCGATAGACTGGATCGTATAGATTATTCCTCGCAGCAATGTCGGTAGTACAAAGTACTTGCAGCCTCGCACAGACAGTGTAGTCGGCAGCACTGTCAATGTTTAACGCTTTATACATTATTTCTGTACGATCGTCTCCTATTATTTGCTCACATTCACTGATTTTGGCATGGGAATATTCCAGTGACTTCCCTGTGACAATTTTTAGCGGACGCAAAGGTAAAGGTAATGCTAAAAACGGCAAAGTGAAAAGGCGGACGTAAACTTGGCCGACCCGCCAATTGCTTTGTTCATAATCGTGTATCTTGTGGCGACCAACTCAAATAGTAAGCCAGTAACCAAATAAAAGAGGTGAAGCGATCTCATTTCTCAAGCGCCAATTGCGAGGACTAATTCTGATACTTCACTGATCACAATGCAGTGGTTTATTATTCGGAAACGTGTAAACTAGAACTGCGAAAGAGAACCGTTTTATAAGTGTAATCTGGAATTTGGAATAAGTTCGGGATCGAACAATTCGGATTTACTTGACCATTGAACTCAGTGTTTTCATGGTTTTCATTGCACTTGTGTAGGGCTCAAAAATATAACTTGATCCTGATACTCTGGTACGGCGGGACGCTATCTGAAACTCCAAGACATAAGTGGATTATTGCACAAAATCCGTCGTGTGTTTTCAACTACATATACCGAGAGTTAGACTGTGCCTCCGTGTTCACTATTTACCGGTTCTTATAGCGTTATCGTTTTAAGACTGTTTTACGCAGCTGCTTTTTTTCGTTAATGTTCTCCATCTACTTACCTGTTAGCATTTATGCTTATTCAGGTTGTGCTCTTTTAACCCAGTACATATTAGGAAGTACCACATTTCTGTATCTGTCACAACAATGGTGTGTGACTGAGTTCTTTACCTGTGTGTGTACCTACTGTGTGTGTGTGTGCGTATGAGACCTATGTAAAGGTCATCGATGGCCAGTTCCTATGTTAAATATAAGGAGCCAAACATCCAGGTGTGTAATAACCTTTATTGGCAAATGTCCATTGACCATTAATGCACAATACAGTACACTATTAGAAGTGATCACGAGGCTGGATAATACTCGAATAAATAGAATGCTTTTGATAGGCTCTTATATATGGATCGGTACCGCTTAGGTGTGATCGATAATCATCCGTATGATCATATGATGTAATCATGATTTCATAATGAGTAACTATGGCGTAGTTATTATCGCGTTGTTCTTGGCAATTAACCCTGACAAGCACGTAGTGGCCGCGTCTGTGTGAGTAATTGTGACTTAACTTGTTCGATTGCTGCACTTTTAATAGGTAGAGGAATATTTTCCAAATACAGTAAAATCATAGAAAACGGATATTTCTCAAGAACAGTATATACATACATGATACAAACACCCTGTTCGGAAAAAGGATGCTTGTATGCATTACGAGCATACCAAATATTAATTGTTAAAACCGTTAATACATATGTTTCATGCTGTACGACTGATGACATGTTTGCCAGCAGTTACAGAGAACATGCAGCAGCATTTCTTACCTGAACGATGCCGCAGTACTCTGGAAGTAGATAATAGTAATTCAACCGGCGCGGATGATTTCATCGCATGTTGAATAAGAGTACTCCTAACTCCAGCACGTGATGCAAACGCATGTACAGAGTATAGAATGATAGTACATACAATACCCAGACGTGTGCTGGCATAAACGTTAAACCGATGTATGATTTTTTGCTACAGTCAACTACTGTACAGTCTACAAACTGAGCGCATTCAGGTCGAGATGGGTGAGTAATCATGCGGAACTGAATTCCGCACGTATCGCTGTACAATGCTTGATAAACGGAAGGAACGCCGAAAGACTAATATATCATACAAATTCTTCAGCAGCATTGACAGACAGGAATCGCTGCTGGTGCCCGCAAAACGAGTTCTCTCTGTAGTGTGGTGAACTTTCATCATTATTTAAAGTCATTTAAGCGCACAGAGTAACAGTATCTCAAATAAATACAACATCCTCTTTGAACGGAATACCGACCATGTGGAGCGGAATCAGCGCCACCAACCGTGTGGATGTTGTGGCGAACGACGGCCTGTTCCGTTATGGGCGTGTCGTGGACGTAACGAACTGGGGACTCCTTATCGACTTCCTGTGTCCCAAACGACGCCGCGAATTGGTTCCTTTCCACCGCGTATTCCGCTGCCGCACAGATCCACCGGTAGACGGCGAACGTATCGCCAGCGTTTACACGCGCGCCCGTTCTCCCGTTCCCGTGGAAGTGTTAGAGCGAGATAGTTCCTCCGACGCGTGGACTTGGTTCCCGGCTGAAATGATCAATCTGACGGACGGGACACAGCATAGCACGTACATTGTGGCCGTTGTGAAATGGTGGGATGAAGGCGAGCGTACGGATCTGGTCCCGGTTGAACGGATACGCTGGAGTGTCCCGAGGCACTGGTGGGCGGAGCATCGTTGGCCGGAACCGCGTTCGATTGTTGCTACAACGTGGACCCCGCCAACGGGGGCCAGCTGGCCCGACAGATTCAAAAGGAACACTTTCACCAAGCGTTTTATCAAAGTGCCGGTGAACTACACGCTGCCGGCGAAAGAAATCCTGAAGCGTCTGAAAAGCAGCGGACCGGTGCCGTTTGTGGAGGTCGTCACCGGATACGTGTGGTACATCCACCTCGAAGGCTGGCGCTTTGTGGTAAGATATATTATTTCTACATCCTTTGCTCCGAATTAAAAGTTCGTTTTTTTTTCCAGGATTCGGCTTTAGAAAAACTGCAAAACGAACTTTCTGCATCAGTTCTACGGATGATTGCCGAGATGACTGGCCATCCGGCTGACTGCGGTGCCGAAGTAGACTTCCCAGCGCTACCGACGGAACTGTGGCGCGAAGTGTTTTCCCATGGATCGGCACGTGCACGCAGAACAGGCTGCGCTTAGTCTGCGCCGCTTGGAACTTGATTTTGGATTCGCCGACGCTGACAGCAAACGTTATCGTCAACAGCGCCGATTTCGAGGCCACCCAGTCCGACCGGTTGGTCTACTACATGACGGCACCCATTTTTAAATGTCTCCGCCCAGCGACACATCGCCTGATTGTCTGTGATGGGCGCCGAGTGCGAAAGCCCCCCGCCCGCCCATCCTTACAAAATGTTGTTATGGATGAAAAATGCCACTTGATGAAGGACAACGATGTGTTTAAGGTGCTGGATGTCCTACGATACATCGGCCAGGAACATACCGGCGCTCGGCTGAAGACCTTCTATCTGGTGGGATTCCATTGCCGGCTGCGAATCGGAGCGGGTTATTTGCCGCGCGCGTGCGAGCTCCATGGATCTGGAAGTAAAGCGGTGAATTGGGTGTACGTGGAGGGCGCTCGATGCTACTTCCGGCTGGACTACTTCATCGCCTCATGCCGCGGCGTTCCGTGTGATTTTTTCCGCTTTGTGAACTGCTCCGTCCATCTTCATTATACGTTTTGGACAAGAAGACGATATATTCGCCCCACGAAACCATTTATTTGCACCACAAAACCTATATCGATACGGCTGGCATAACAGTGACCAGGGATTTCGACTGCGCCGTGTGGGATGCGCTGGAGACGGCGCTGCCGATGCCGAGCACCGACCGGTCGAGTGGGATGTCGAGATGGATGAGGGCGCTTACGCTGGTCGCAGCAGAAACCGGCCGTGAACTAGTATATGGTACCGAAATGCGCAAGGTGAGACGAGCTGTTGACTGATCACATATGATTAAAAAACTCCTTCCTCCATATACAACGAAAACTCTAGCCACCTCTTCTCTGTTAAATTTTTGTGCCTGCAGCAGCTGTGCATGTGTTTACAATGCACGGTTTGAAAACAAATATTAAGCTAATACGGCATTGAAGCTTTGATCGACTGGCCAGTTTTCGTAATTTTTGTATGTTATTATTTATCTAAATTTATTTCCAATTACTAAAATGGAAATTTAAATTAATGTATTAATATTTTTTAGCATCATTAATTTAGTGTTCTTATCCTTTCTCTGCTGGTCTGAAATTCCTTTGTGATGTTTTTTTTACTTTGATTTTTTAACATGATATTTAAATAGTATTTGCATTTAGTATTTCTTATTCATTTAAAAGATATGCATGTAATGGGCTGCCCTTTTTAAACTGGATAAAGTCTGGACATACTGGGTAAAGCAACAAATCATATTTCTTACGTAAGATTATTCCCTGTTTATTTATGTAACTATTTAGTATTATCGCTTTTTGAAATTTGCTGATTTTCATACTCTTATGGTACGATCTGCCGGGTCTTCGGTTCTGTTAAAAGGTTAATTATCCACTTTAGCATCGCTTAAATAAGAATTCGAAGATTATTCTACACCGCCATTAACTTCGGTGCACCCTGTTTTTATTCCGCAGATGTTGTGCGCAACTCAGTCTGCTGATCCGCGTCTGGCATCGCAGCACCGAGGACGAAAGTGGTGTCTGGATGGACCCGAGGACATTCCATTCGATACGCTGTCGCGCATTACGTTACGCTTCCTCTCGCAAATGGAGGGCGACTGCACCACGCGGTATTTCATCAAAATCATTGAGGAACGCTTGTTTCCTCAGTACGAGTACGGCTTGGAGTACGATTACTGCGGCTCGGATTCGGATGACTGGTAAGCCTCCCGCATTCACTGGAGCTTCTGGGAATGAGTTTCGTGCAACCAGTAAAATCATGGGTTAACCTGTTTTGCTTAGCGTAATCATTAATGTGTTAGTGTTAAGCAAATTGTACCGCTTATCCGCAGGTTGAAAATGGCCAAATTTCAGATGAGCAGTAAGATGTACGACCAGGCGCAGCAACGGATGCGGTTGCATGACCGACTCGGCCAAGCTGGGGTCCTATGGCAGTATCCATGCAACGGAATGTGTGCCGCGTCGTGTCCAATGATTCCCGCAGCGGAAACGAAAATGCGCATATACACTTTCTGATCCAATTTTTACCATCGCCTGTACTCTAAGAACCGAGTTGCCAAAGCGTGTGCTGATATAACTGCATAATACAGTCAATAAACCGTAATAAAACAGCTACTAGGAAAATGCACTTAAATGTGTGCGCAGCGTTTTTTTAGCATTACAAGTTTTCTGAATTTAGAAAGTCTTGAAATTTGTATTTTGTGGTTGCTTATTATAAAGTTCAAAATAATAACTTTATATTTCATTGTTTAACGACCTACGAGTAGGTAACACAAAATTAAATTATTGCATGCAGTACACAGTACACGCTTTTAGATTGGCACACACGCTTTTAAAGATGTTTTGACGGCATTTGAAAGGCTACCCATGTATCGGGTTCACTGAGTGACTCCTCGTCTTTGCATAAAAAAATCTAGTACATAGTTTTTACATATAAATTTAACATAGAACATAGTTTCACGTATTCATGTATCATTGTACATAGAATTTCACATAGAACATTTTACATATAACACAGATTTTTACATAGAATAAACAGCCGTTACAATTTATAGAGGCAATTTATGTCCTCTCGGAAAACTAGGCCGACAAAAATACTTTTCCTCAAATTTATTATGTGGCTGCGACCTCACGTGAAAGCGCCGGTACTGCGGCGAGCCAAATATTAGCAGTAGAAGTAAAGTGAATTAACAGAGTTAAAGTGAATAATTACGGATTGACGAACGCGCTAAATTACCGAACTAAGCTGCTATTTTTCAGCGCACAGCGCTGACCACAGCTTGCAAAAGATATCATTTCTATGCGTACATTTTTGCTCGCAGCGCAACGAGAAAGCGCTGGGCCATCGGCGACAATTTCTCCCACTCCAAACCTTGCAGGCCGTCCACGCACCACTTCTTCTCGCGGATATGCGACGGCGGACGGGGATCCGTGGAGTATAGCGCGCACAGCGTCTACAAAACGTAATCCTTGCACGGATACCACACTGAAAGATTGCTAGAGCAGCGTTAGAAAGCTGTAGACCGTGGATTCTACCGTGCAAACGTCTCGCTTCGAATTCCAGCCCTTTTCTATCCACTCGAGCAGCTTGTGTGGCTCATCTTCACCCAACATCGGCAATCCCGCTTCCAACGCGTCCCACAGTGCGCAGCCGAAATCATCTCCAGGGGGCAGTCGCGTAGGGCGCATGTCGACCTGTGTTGTAAACTTGTATCTGCTCCATGTTACTTCAAAGTTGCAGGCCAAAGTATGGACCGCTGTTGGCACGATCTGGATAGTGTCGCACGGTAGAGTACAGCACAAGGAAATTAAATCCTCCAGCCAATAATAACCGTATCCCGGACTCGGCTTCACAGGATCCGGCTGATGCAGGCCACATTCCGCAATTGTCGAGAAGGTCGATAAGGAACTCGAGTTAATCAGCAAGTCAAATCTGACGCGGTGCAGAAGGACGGAATGGAGTCGGATGCCGGCTTGATGATCAGACACTGATTTTATCATATTCAACACCATCGCTGCATACTTATGGTCCCACTCCGCGTACTGGGGACACGTGATGATGACGCGGTGGGTGCCGGGGCGTAGGCATTTGTACACAGTCGCCAGGTCAAGGAAACCGGCATAGCTGTAGTAATCGACACGGACACACCTCGTTCGAACGACGATCGTGGAGCGCAGCGCTGACGCATCCATGATCCGGTTCCACGTTGTGCACACAGCGCGCAGTTTTGTCTGATGTTCAGTGCGCAGATGAGAAAAGACCTCCTGCCACAATTCCACCGGTAGCACTAACGTCATGTCGTTATCCGCTGCCGGAGTTTCAGGAGGAGACTGGAGGATGCGGAGCACGCGCTCCTGGAAGCGAGCCAGGGCCAGCTGACAAATAAACAATCTACACTAAGCGGAACATTCAGCGTTGGAAATCCGCTGCGACACTTACCGACCAAGCGTCTGCGGGAATAAGGAGTCGTTTCCTATGCATAATCTGGCAAATGAATCTTAGCGAGCCGTCCACTACATTCACCGCGACAACCGGCACGCAGTAAAACCGCAGGCAACAGCCATTCAATCGCTTAATTAGTGCGCCGGCTTCTTCAGTTGGTAATGAACGGAATTCCGTGCTTACGTCCATACTGAGCTCCACAAAGGTAAACCGCCCGACCACATTGTCGCTATCAGCAGGATTGAAGGCCGAGCAGGATTGAAGGCCTTCTCGGCCACTGAAGCGACGCGGAAGCGTTGGATGGGGACGATGTCGGTGCACAGCACGCCACTGTCCGGACTTCGCCACTGGAAAAGGGCCGCTCCATACTGTACCATGGAGAAGTCACGGCCAATACTGCGCATTTCCGCCGGGACCCAAATCCAAGGACCCGATGGCGTCTCCGGCACGAGAATCTCCACTTGGCCCCATTGTTTGGCAAGGCAGTAGGCCAGTTGCGGTGGATCAATCCGCATGCCTTCCAGAAAGACGCTGTGAAATGGCGCATATTCCCTTCGCCGATTGGGACCGAGATCGACAAGGAGACCATCCTCAGCCACGTCCACGACGCATCCGTAGCGCATCTGTTGATCGCTGCCCAGGACGTTTACCGCGTTAACGCGGTTCATTCCGCTCGGTGGATTTGATAATTTAATCGAGCATAAAAATTGGAATGATCGTTTTGCAGCTGCGGAAGAGCGGAGCGTAGTGCGCGGTAGAGCTATCCGCCCAAATCTTGAATTTGAGCGCAAGTCAGAAGCACTACTAATATATACAAAACTGCGAAACCGTTTCGCAGTTTGAAAATATTGTGGAACACTTGCAGCTCGAATTATGTCGCATTAGCGTAGATACAACGTCGTAATAAACTGCAAAAAGAAAATTAGTCCTCGTTACATCACTTACATTGTAAAAATAAAATCGGTCGTTGTCTTGTAATTTGTAGTACTTAAGCCAGACGCTCAGCTGATAGGAGAAATTCACATTGACTGGTACGAAGAAAAAGTTGGCGCTCTGTAGCTCAGCTCCACATTCATATCTTGGCACCGAATAAAGTTTTTCTGGTTTTCTAGATTATGTAAGATGACTAGGCAGATTAGCAGCCAATTAGACTTAGAGCCGTCTGTTTTCGTAGGTGTTCTAGTGCATCTTTTATATTGTTAGATTTACAGCTGTGTTTGCTCACCAGCTGTAAATCTAGCACACTATCGGGACACCATTTCTTCCCGTGATAATGCGAAGACAGCCGCCGATCAGCCGACTGCATACCGCACGACATCTGCAAGACCACATCATATACGCAATGTCGTATTTGCTAGGCTACGCGCACGAACGCGATTTCAACCGGTAACCTTTTTGAGAGCGCTTTGGTCGTGGAGGTAGAGTTTGCATGGCCCTGTTCAAAGAAATTTGTCTTGTTCGTCGGCTACTCTTGTGGTGGTCTGCAAAATACGATATTATCGATCAGCGACAGAAAGCGCCGGTGCACAACGTGTCTCTGTCAAAACTCGATGTAATTTTTGCCGTTTGTGCTGTGTAGAGATGGCTGGCAAGAGAATAATGCAGTTCTGTATACGATATCCAAGATTAAAAACGGGCTACCGTAGACAAAAAGCAACAGGATATGTACTGCAGAAAAAATCCATGAGCCATCTACAAAGGATATTGTTATTAGAAGCTTTCTACAGCAGTTCAAATTTAATTTCCTAGTATACTTTAGAGTTCAAGAAAGCTTTTGCATGGTTTGTATCTTAGAACTAGCTGCCCAAATTATTAACCGTTAATGTTGCGAAGTATGGAGCTTTGTTATCGCTATCGAAGCAGATATTTATTAGCAAAATAGATGCAGTGAATGAGAAGGAATCCTGACTATGCCGCGCCGGAGTGGACAAAAGTGTAACATTCCTTTAAAGATAAACAGTTCTTTAAAGAAACGCGATTGTTATTCGAACATTAGCACTTTTTTCTTTGAAGAGCCAAAATATCTACAAATTTTGTGAAGAGATGCTTGAAGTTGAAAATACATCATTTTGAGAATTTTACATTTATCATTGGACTAGGAACTATTCTCTAAAGAAACTTGTCCGAGGAAGTATTCTTTAAAGAAAGTCGTCTTTAGAGATCCCCAATGTCTAAAGACCTGAATTTGCAGAAGGAGCGTTAACTACATCTTTGAACGTACGTTTATGATCGACCATCTTTGAAGAGCGCAAGAAATACAAAAAAACATTAACACACCCCGGAGTCACTCTTCGACTTGAAAATTCAAAATACTTATACTTCTCCTCATAGACATATTTATTTAGTCTTAACGCCCAAAACGTAATTCTTCGCCGTTTTTATGGATTCGTAGATGAGTGGTCAGTTTTAGTGGCCAAAAAAAAATTTTCATATTTTCTGTAGGATTACCAGCGTTTGCAATATTTTGTTTGTTTGTGAAATACAAGTGGTCAGAGGATGATCTTCAGTATAGAAAACGCACACAGCACCCGAAAATGTTTACTGCACAGTACTTAATACAGAATACATAAGACTAACGATTGCAACCACGGAACCAGTGGATACATAAATACTGTACTTGCTTTTTAGTTACAATAATAGTATTACATTATATAGATATAAAACTGTAGAGTGCAGATGATTGTAGAGTGTGGAGTGCAGATATGTAATTAAGTATTTTCTGCTGCAGTAAATTACAAGCTTACGCAAAGTGTCCGTAAATGATGAAATACATAACTTAAAAGTTCTGCGAGTTTTACCCATGTTTACACGAACATAGTTCTGTGCTTGCATGCAAATAAAATACTAACAATAAGACGCAATACTAACAATACGACGCAAGGCCAGAAGCCACAAGTATACGAGGTTGCGCGGTAACGTGTCAAAATGTCCGGTCAAACATAAACTTACAATCTAGAGAAGCACTCTGCAATGTAATAAATCATTCCATTAAAGACGTACTCTCCGAGGACAAAGTTTACTGACAAGGTTTCATATTAAAATAATATTATCTTGTTGTTTACAATTTTTTGTCATATTATTATATATATTGTCGCTTTTTTCATCGCTT